CTCATCACTTTCAGGTGTCTCTTTGAGGGGTCTCTTTGTCTTTTGAAGATCCTTAAGTCGAGAGGAAGAATCAGTATGTAGAGCAAGAGTGCATCACCCGCGGGAGAAGGGGAGGGCAGGAGAGAGGAGGGGGAACAGCAGAGGCTTTTCTCCCTTAATTCTTAGTCGCTTTAGTCCAAGGTCAGAAGGAAAGTGGCTGGGGCTCTGTGGTAGTCTAATGAGCGTTACTCCTTGTGAGACACTGAGGGGTCTCTTACTCCTCAAAGTCTGGCCAGTGACCAAGAGGGTGTTTATCAATAAGGCTAGAAAATAGACCCAAATGTGACCAAAACTGAGTCCAATTTTGGTCCAGGTATTGGCAGGTATACTGTGGTTGACAACACAAGATGGAGGAAAGAAAAAAAAAAATTAAGAGTATGACCTACTTGAAGCTTGAAAAGAACAAAAAATGCACTTGCTACCTCTGCCAAGGAATCCTGAATATGGAGCCAACACTACTGCAAGAACTTGCCTTTCAAATATCGATCTTTCTATGCACCAAGATAAAATCCTCTCTCCTGCCCTCCCCTTATCTCGTGAGTGGTGCATTCTTGCTCTACATACTGATTCTTTCTTTCGACTTAAAGATCTTCAGCTTCTCAAAGAGACACCTGAAAGTGATGAGTATAGATGGGTAACAAAACAACCCCACTCATACCTGTGGGGAGCATCTGGAACAGCCTCACCTTGGCAGAGGCCACTTTCAAAGACAACAGAAGAGGGAGTTACCAAGATTTTTAGAGCCTCGTCAGATTTTTGGAAGGAAGATTTGCCAGGTTTATAAAAACCTAAAGTACCTCTGACAAAATCTTGCTCAAAGGAGCCTTTTTCAGAGAGATGTCTTGGTTTGGAGATTTCCATGGAGAAAGCAGCAGAAAGCCGCAATGCATAGCCCTGAGCTATCCTGAACCACACTCAACTAAATCTAGCAGCATGGAGCAGGAGAAGCTGGTTGAAGGTGGAGACAGTGAACCAAGACCAGCTCCTCCTCCAGGAGCCAGCTGTTTGCAGTGATACCTAGTCCCCAGCCTCACAGTCCAGGGGGCAAAATCTGGCCATAAGGCAGGGTACTTCTCAGACTCCCTAAGAAGATAAAGGAGAAACACATACAAGCGAGTACCTCAAACTATTCCACTTTTAACCCCAATCATACCTCTGGAGGTGCTAATGAACAAGATGAGCAGGAGGAGGCAGCTCACCAGGGAAGGAGAGAGGGAGAGGCCAGAAGGCTGGATGTAGAAGGTGCCAATTACAGGAGCATCCACTTAAAGCCTAATGTGATCATAACAACCTCCCTCTGTCTCTCCCCCTCCTAAAACGCCTCTCTTTGGTTAGGGAGCAGCAAAAGTAACTCCAGGATACTCACTCATGCTCAGTTGGGTGTTGCAGGAAATAGGAAGACATATTTCATGACACCCTTTGAAATCCTTTGAAGTTGCTTCCTATTCCAATGGCCTCTGGCAGTAATTAAGTGGGTTCAGTGTCCCCTCAGACTTAGAGGGTTCCTTGGCTCAATACTTGAAAGCAGAGCCTTGGAAGTGCTTAGTTGGGCTTGGAATACAACTGCAGCAGGTGGCAGAGACAAAGAGGGGTGTGCCTGAGACTGCTGTGGGGATACCAGGCCACGCTGCTTAGAAGGGTCTCCCACCTCTGTGGCTAAACAATGCAAAAGGCACCACCTGCTACATAAGGGCCTGACTTGTTCTTTCCTGAAGTTGTAGCTCCTGCTGGTATGAAGGGAATCAGGAACCAGTAGGCAATAGTGACCAAGACCCAAGCCAATCTTGAGAAAATAGCACACACCACAAAGTGTGAATGAAGCTTATCCCAGTGCAGTAGATCTAAAAACAAATTCTCTCTGGATTCTCCTCAGAGGTGAACAGCTTTTCAAGAGTTTATTCATGCCAAGCATCACACAGACTCTTACCTTATTTGTCTCACAAGGATTTTAGACGCTCATTCTCAAACTTGAGTCTGCATCAAATCCCGTGCATGGTTTGTGAATGGTAAAATGGAAGCTGTGAGGTATTTTCCAGCCTCCCACCATTAGCATCAATGATAGACACCTGTGGTCTTATGCGGGCACCTGATGGCAGCACCTGAAGTGTGTGGGCGTGCGTAAGAGAGCACACCTGAGCCTGGAGCTGAGGCTATATGGGTGGTGACACAGCAGAAGAGAGAGCGCGGCAGCAGAGGCCTGCGAGCAGAGGGCCATGCATCAGAGTGTAGCAGAGACCAGAGAAGAGATTGGAAGAGAAGGCCCAGAAAAAGTAAAGATTCGCCGGGGGCTAGGAAGCCTGTCAGCCTCCTGGCTCCCAGGCCTCCCTGCCTGCCCTGCGCCTGGTTACCTCACTACAAATGGTGTAGAAAGATCATTAAAAGCCTGAAAAATCCACGGAGGGGCTCCAGGACTCCTCCTTTTCCTGTCTGCCCGGATCATCGAAAACCTGCTCCGTGCTTTGCTGGCACTACAGTTTGTTAAATCACAGGGCCCCACCCCAGAGTTTCTGACTCAGGAGAATTTGCATTGCTAACAAGTTCCCAGGTGATGCCGCTATTAGGGATGTTTCTAGATGTTGGACAGGGATGTTTCTAGATGTTTCTCTTTGGCAGAAATCCTGTGCTTAAGAAAGTCCAAGTAGCAGTTCTTCCAAAGGGCTGCAAGCAAATAGAGGTTTCTTCCCAAATTGTAGTGTCTACAAAAGCCAACACATTGCCTGAAGCCACTGAGATCTGAAGAGGCAGAGGACTTAAGTTTTAACAAAGACCTAGCTCTCTGGGGTAAACTGTGCATCCCCTGTTGTGAATATAGCAGATGTAGGTTGTAATTGTGTCTGCCTAAAGTCAGAAGTTTTCTATTAACCTACAACTGGAATTGCTGCCCATTTAGGTAAATGTTTGAAAAGTGCAAGCAGGAAACAAAGACTCCAGAGAAGTTTATAAATGAGAACAGCTGCTCTAAGGTTGCTTTGTGTAGCTGACGATATTAGCAATAATGTGAGTGAAGTACACGTTAGTACCTCATAGCCCAGGATATCTACAGCAAATGAGGGGTTTTTGGATAAGCAATTGACCTCATTTCCTGAACCTCATTACCTGTTTGTCTGATACTTACATGAGCGTAACCAAGTACATTGTTGGAAAATTGCTGTTTTGCTTTCCTATAGAGTTTGATGACCACAGTGTACAGCTTACAACAAGCCAGTAAAATCCTGACAACTTCCACTGAGAGAAAGTACTACTATGTTTATCAAGACATCTGAGTTCCATTTTCATGATCCCAAGTATAGCTCGTTTGTTTATCTGAAGTTACTTTGAGGATGTTGAAAGTTTTGATGGAATTTATGCTAAAAAGTAACATAATCAGCTGAAGTTTTAATTAACAAATATGGCATTCCAGTTAACCGTCCTTCTCAATAGTGAGTCAATCGATTATTTTAAAATATATTTCTATATTAGCAATGTTTAACAACAGGGATGTACTGGACCTCCCCTGGTGGCGCGGCGGTTGAGCGCTGGGCTGCAAAGCTGTCCGCAGCCTCTGCAGCACCAGCTCGTTCCCTGGACGCTGGCGAGGGTCCCACATGGCATGCAGACCTCTCCTGCCGCGCCCGCTGCTTCCCTCAGCAGTGTATTTCGTTGGTCTGTCTGTTCTGTTCCCCACTCTAGCTCTGGTGAATTCTCTCACCCTCCCGTGCTTCTGACTATACCTAGTGCTTGTATGGATAAATAGATAAATCTTTAAAAAACAAAAACAAAATAACAGGGATGTACTGTCCCTAAAAAAGACACTGATACTTTTTTTTTTTTAAAGATTTATTTATTTATGCATACAAGAGCTGGGTACAGGCCAGAGATGCAGGGGGTCAGAGGATTCACTAGAGACAGAGTAGGGTACAGAACAGGCAGACTGACTGAAATACACTGCTAAAGGGAGCAGCAGGCGAGACAGGAGAGGTCTGCTTCGCGTGTGTGTTGCTCCCTGGCTGGCCGGGGATCGAACTCATGTTGCAGTGGCTGCGGATTTCTTCGTAGTGTGGTGCTTAACCCCTTGCGCCACCAGGGAGGCCCTGATACTAACTTTGAGCTAAATTGTATACTTTCTCCAAGAATTGCTCTTCCTTTTGTAAACTTCCAGACTCTAGAAATTTTCTGTCTGTTGGCTTTATGCTTCAGAACCTTGAAATAGCCATGACTGTTATCTTACCTTAACTATTATCTTACCTCTTGCTAACAGAGAGATTGTTAGAGGTAACTGAGTGACCCAAGATGTCAATTAAAGGGAGGAAAGTGTGTACATGTTTACAAAGATGAAAATATGTGGTCAAGTATATTTCCCTTTGAAATCTGTTTATTTCATCTGAAATCTGCTCTTTAAAATATGTAAAGAGGAACTGCAATGTTCCTGCACACAGCAGTGCTAAAGGTCAGTTTTAGCCTAAGCATCCCTGGATAAGCTCCTGTTTATGGGGTACCAAGTTTACAAGGGAGAGAATATAAGATGCAATAGCAATTATTTGCTTGATGATAGAGATGCAGCCAGCCTGGGGAGATCACATGGAAAAGTTAATTGTCCCCAGTCATCATCTGGTGGTAGTGACAACTTTGGTTTTGTAGCTCAGAATATAATGTGGGTGTTGAGAGAGCAAATGTGTAATTATTGGGTACTATATGATTTTCTGTATATAGGAGATTTTCCTGTCACACGTCAAATCAAACCCTTTAGGCAACCATCTTCTCTATCTACTGACAAGCTTGATGTTGACATAGTGGCCATTGGCATGACCCCCTTCTCTCTGAGGATCTTCCATTTTGGGTAGTAAAATGGAGATTCCCTCCTCTGTAAACAAAAACAAAATAGGTGGGGACCCGGGGCCATGCGGGGTCGTGCCGTGTGGAGCGCGCAGCTGCCTGGAGCCCCCCACCCGCCTCCCCGGCCTTCTGCAGGTCCCAGTGTCGCGGCGGCGCGCTCTTGGCGAGAATCAGGAGGAGGAGACAGCAAGGATAGGCCCAGGAGCAATGGCGTCCAAAGAGGAACAAGAGCAAAAAAATCGCAACATGGAAAGCGCGCAACAGGAAAAGGAAGAAAGGGAGCAGCCCCTTGTGCAGAATGGAGAGGAAGCACAACAAGTGGGAGGAGGTGAAGGCCAGAAGCCTGGAAGAAAACGGGGGCTGATTAGTGATTGGTCCCTAATTTTCGCTGGGGCATACCTAACAAGCATACTGATCACAATGAAGTGGGAGATGATGTAGAAAAGTTTGTAGGGCAAATGGTGGAAGTCAAGAAAAAGACTAAGGAGCAGCAAATGAGGCATTACATGCGCTTCCAAACTCCTGAACCTGATAATCATTACGACTTTTGCCTTATACCTTGAATCCTAAGGGCTTTCCTGGGATTAATAATGTGGCCTCTGCTCTATAAGCTTGTAGTTTTGTGATTTACATTTTCTGTAAACCTTTGGTGTTTCCACTTAACAATTTCTATTTGATTATTGTTTTTGTCTTAATGTTAAACTTTTTGGCAGCAGGGCTTTTTCACCAAGTTTAGGAAAAATATTCTCTTCATAATTGAACTTAATAAAGCAGTTTAAAAAGCGGTAAAAAAAAAAAAAAAAAAAAAAAAGAGACTGCAGTGATAGCCCTAATTTGACCAGATAAATACAAGATCCCTTATAGCAAATTCCTAAATACAGGCACATGCATCCTAGGTATCTTTAGACAGGTTTGGGCCACATGAAAAGGCAGCAGAATATATCTGCCTTTGCTTCAATCTCTCTCTCAGGCCAGAGGTTCCTGTCTCCTGAAGAATAGTCACTTGGAAGTACAACAACTAAGCAGCAACCAATAGGAAACACTTAAGAAATGATTGATTCATAGCACTTTTAAATGACTTAGCCTCTTGTGCCTCTCAGTGGTAAAACAAAGAGGTTAGACCACATGATTTCTAAGGTCCTGTTCTGCTCATAAATTCCTACTGTGTTCATTTTGTACTTATTACATTGAGTAATTGAGTTCTTTGACTCAAGGACACAATCAAAGGCTCTTAAGATTAAAGAGCGTGGAGTTCCTGAGGCCTAAGGAAAAAGTGATGCTTCATCCTTGCTGCTCAGGCTCGGGGGCCCTCTAGTGGGTTGAGTTAATTGAGATTCCAAAGTCTGAACTTAAATAGATAAAGTGAAATATTTGGGACCAGTAGCCAATTTACCTTTGTTCTTGAGGTAAAATAGGATGACTGATTTTACTTTTTAATACTTAAGGAGTACCAGTATAAGTTGTTCTTTGCTGAACATCAGATAATGCAGAGGAGTAGTCTACATAGTTTTCCACTGAAGCACAACTTCCCCTCCTTCAGAGACAGTGACAGAGACAAAACTTAAATATTCAGGGACCACATTAGAAATTGTGGCAACTACCACATTAAAGAGTTTGGACTTCTTGTTGTTAGTTTCAGTCTTTGAGCAAAGAAAGGTCTTGAAGGGTCAGCTGAGACAATGGCCAGGATCCCTTTGATTGGCAGGGCAGGACTGGGCAACAGATAGAAGTGTGACTGAAACAACACAAGGGTTGGAAGCATGAGTAAAATTTAGGGGGCTGATAGTTGATGTCTAGGCCCTGGTTTCAGAAACCCCTTAAAGGGCTGTTTAGCCATCATTGTGTTGCCTTTCTTATCCATAATTTGCAGCAGATTCAACCACTACTGCCTTGAAGAGGTTGACTTTGGGATAAAATTTTGGTTCCCAGTTAGAGAAATGTTCTAATGAAGTAACCCTTGGGCATGACTCCAAGTCAGAATTGCTCAATGACATCTGTGTCATCTAAGCACTGAGGTGAACATTTTAGTACAGTTCAGTCTAGACTGGTTCCCTGAACCTGTCTGGAAAGACTTTTTTTGGTAAACAGTATTGTATGTATGCTGTTTTGCACATTAGTATTTATTTTGATATCCTGTTGGTTTTAAAGTATTATATGGCATACATAGTATTTATTTGTGTATGTCAGTGTGAATTTAATGTAACAAATTATATGCTGTCATAAACTATTTTACTGAAAAAAAAAAAAAAAAAAAGAATACTTTGCTGATGTAGTAGTTGGTCAAAGTCTGAGCGTCAGGGCCAAAGTAGTGGCAATGGAATGAATGACTGACAAACTCAAAAGTAGGATCAAGCAGATCTGATGAATGTGGATGGTTTCTGGGTCTCAGTGTTCAACAGTTGAGTAGATGGTGGTACAGCCAACATAAAAGAAGAACGCCCTTGAGGAAATATAAGCTGAGTTTTGCACATTCAAAGTTTGAGGCGCCTACAGGCTATCAGGTGAACACAGAGAATGCAATTTCTTGAGAAGTGGCCACAGGAGAACTGGGACGGACTTAAAACTGGCTACAGTTTTCTTTGTGGACAGCCAGACGTGAGGGGTGGGAGATGGGAGAAGAGGCCGGGAATAGGTCCAGCCTACAGGAAGGAAGAGGCAGCCCCGTGGGGGACCCGCCAAGCAGTCTCCCGGCGACGCCTCCGCGCGGCCCACAGCCCTTCCGCCCGTTGGGCCCCACCGCGCCTGCCCCGTCCAGGCCGCGCAGGCCCCACTTCCGCTTCCGGGCCGGGCCTGAGTGTTGGGCGGCGGGGAGGGCCCGGGGCTGTGCGTGCTCGGCGGCGGGAGCGGGCTTCGTGTGGTCGGTGGTTTCGGGGAGCCAGCACGGTGGCCCCCGCCGGCAGGGCGGACGGCCCAGGGCCGATGCGGCAGCCACCTCCGGGACCTGCGACCATCCTGGGGCATGAGGGTGACATGCGAGGCCTGAAGAAGCGAGGCCGGCGGCCAGGCTCGGGCCCGGGACCAAGCGAGGCAGGAGGCTGCGGCTCTGAGGTCGGGGGGCGCGAGGAGAGCAGGCAAAAGAGGAGGACGGTGGCCCGGGCGTCGGGGAGAGAAGAGGTGGAAAATGACAAGTCGGGTGAGGTGCCCGGGGCTGGGAAGGCTGGGAAGGCCGAGGCGAGGCGGCGAGAGGAGGGCCCCGAGAGCCAGGTGGGCCCTTCGGACCTTTCCGACGTGCCGGGCTTAGAGGCTGTGAAGGAGGCGGAGCTCCCCTTGCAATCGGGAAAACACAGTAAGAAAACGCTCAGGGATCATCCCCTTTCTAGCCTTTGCACCTCTGCCTGCTCCATCCTTGCTTTAATTTGTTTTTATATATATATTAATTTTTTAAATATTTTTTACAGTATTTGCTCCCCCCACCCCTCAGGTGTAGTCCCCATAGAGTTTCCTTCCTCAATGCACCGTGCACCCTCACCTCAGTGGCTTGTGCTCCTCCCTCCCTCTGATCCCTCTCCCTCTTCCTCCCCTGCAGGATGTCTCTGATTTATAATTGCCCGTTTTTTGCTTTGTTGTGTTTTGTGCTGTTGTTATTATTTTACTCTGATGTCTTATTTGGTTCCCCTATATTCCTGTTATAAGTGAAACCATCCGGTGTTTTTCTTTTTCCTTCTGGCTTATTTCACTGAGGATAATTCCTTCTAGTTCCATCCACGTTGCTGCGAATGGCATGAGTTCATCTTTTTTGATTGCTGAATAATATTCCATAGTGGATATGTACCACATCTTCTTGATCCAGTCATCTATTTTTGGGCATTTGGGTTGTTTCTAACTTGAATCTGTGTGGGGTTCACTGATGCACATGGTTGATCAGGAGGCGTAGAAAAACAGGAATTCTCTTAAAAGGTGTTTAAGCAGTTAGGAGCCCTTGGTCAAAATTACTATAAGAAATTTCTGCTAATGATCCATTTTAGTTAGTGTGAAATGATGATGCTATAGAGTTTGATAGTCAGCTACCTTAGAGTCAATACAGGTTTGTATGCAGTTCCTTAACAGAAACTTTTCTCATTTAAAAGCAAATATGCATTTCCATACTGCTATTCAGGGAAATAAAAATGGATGTCTTCAGTTTATTTTACAGTTCATTTTGCTTTTTCCTCCTCCATATAAAATCTTTTCTGGTATGTTTTGTTGTTTTGATCAGCCAAGGAAAAAAGAAAAGTTACTGAAGCCTCAAGTCATGATCCACAGCCAGGGATTGACCTGGTAAGAAAGGAATCATTAATCAGTTCTGAATGTTTCCAAACAGTGGAGTGCAGTGAATTTCAGAGTATGGCTTTCTTGCAATCTTTGGGTAAGGAAGGTTTCGTAGAAGGTATTAAAAGAAGATTTCAAGTTAAAAAATTTAAAAACATAGAAAGCCCACCTCTCAAAATAACTGAAAATAAGACTACACAAAATATTAAGGTTGAATTCCAAGATGAACTGTACAAGAATATGCCGAAATATTCTTGTAACAGCTTATCACCTGGAATAGAAAATAATTCCATTTTAAAATTACATAATTTCAATTGTTTCCCCCATTCCAAGGGTTGGAATGATGAAAACAACCTTGCATATAAACATGATGGTGGCTGTATGCTTGTGCCAGAAAATACCTCGAAGAAAGAAAACCTTAGGAGTCTTGCAGAGAAGAGTGACACAAATACTATTCCTCACCTTTTACAAGTTGAAGAAAACTTAATGGGAGTAAATAAGCTATTGCTTGAAGAAACTGATTTATACCAAAGTAAAAATGATGGCTTGCTCTCCAGCCTTCAAAGTGAAAATATGAAATGTTCACTGGAGGACAGCAGTATTGGGAGAAAACCCAGGAAAAGGATAAAGTTGTCTGAAAAAGAAGAAATGGTTACTGAGGTGAGCATTTCTAATGTGTATAACAAATCTGAGCTGGTATTACATGAAAACAAAACAGTTGCCAAAGGTAAAGAAACAGAGACTTTAGAGGCTAGAAAAAGTCCTTTAAAAGTTTTGAGAAAAGCAAACCATAATATACTCTCTCCAACCGATCATTTATTAAGTCTTCCAGAAACAGCGGGGGAGAAGCCAAGTCCTGAACATCATGTGAATACTATGTTGCAGAAAACCCATGAGCCACTTTTGAAAGAAGGAACAAAGAATGCTTCAGAACCCTTAGGCTGCAAAAACATGGAGCCCGAAGAGTATTTTAAGTCAGTGAAAAGCCCAATAATAAAATCACCTAGTGGTTGCCATCCTATTGAAAAGAAATCTTCAGGGGAAGACTTGAGAAATGAATCTGAAGAATCAAAGTTAAGCTGTCACAGAACAATACCAATGACTGGTAAAAGAATTTGGCCTTGTTATTCATGTGCTAGAATATCTGCCCAGTGTTGGAAAAAGGCTTCCTTGCCAGAATCAAACTTCTTTCTTCCTGGATCTCGGGAAAGTTTGAAGCAAGATGATTTTCTTAAACAGGAAACAAATCAGACTCATTTAACTGATTCCAAATTATCATTACAAAGTTCCTTAACAGAAACAAATAGTGAATCTTCAAGTAAGGAAAAGTTGGATTCTAATTTAAATGGTTTCTCTTCAGTCTCTACAGTAGAACCTATTTCAACAGGTACAAAGCAGCCTATAATCAATGGTGATAAAAAGATGAAGCCAGAAGAACTGCGCAAAAGTGTGTCAGAGGTAGTTTCTATTAGCACC